ATTGTCTAATACTTGTTTTTCCTTTTGTTTTACCAGATTGCTAAAGCATTTCTTTTCTTTCTCCCTCCCTCCCCTTGACTGTGTCTTCTCTGTTGCCTGGGCTACAGTGCAGTATACAACATGGGCTATATACAACAGCTCACTGCAACCTTAAATTCCTGGGCTCAAGTGATCCTCCTGCCTCAGTCTCCCAAGTAGGTGAGACTACAAGCATGCAACACCATCCCTGACTAATTAAAAAAAATTGTTTTTAGGGAAAGGATCTTGCTATGTTGCCCAGGCTGGTCTTGAACTCCTGGCCTTAAGGATCTCCTTAAGGAACTCCTCCTGCTGCTTTTTCGCTGGGTGGGTATTTTTTACCCTTGCTCAGATTCTGCTTCAGCCACCCCTCATCCATGCACACATGAGCCTAAAAGAACAGTTTACCTTTCCAGGTTTTACTAGGACTATGCTAAGTGGCTGGGAAGGAAGTTCAACGCTTGTAAAATTCAAACTTTCTTGGGCAGAGAAACACCAAGGAGGAGTGGTTAGGTCATCTGTGTGCCTCTAAGGTGTGGGAGATCTGGCTGCCAATTCTGTCACCCATGCACCTCCAGAGGTGCCAGGAATGACCCCACCCTTCCCTGTTCTCCCCTCTTTCTCGGGTCCAGGTTCAGCCCTTCTCTCACCACCGTGTCCAGCTACCTCCCTCAACCTCCTGACTTCTGTGTCTTCATTCATGGGAATATGTCAGGTGAAGTTATTAAGGCAACTGTAAAGGCCAGAAAGTTGGCTGAGGCTCCTGGGGTGAATTTATGACTTGGGAGGAAATGGAAAAATTGTCTAAGAGTCACAGTTATCATCTTGGGACAGAGGGAGGAACTGAGACCCGGAAAAAGGCAGTGGCTGCCTTATTCCCACGGTGATGAACAGTGAGAATCTGATTTCCTGCCAGATTCTGAAAGAGGATTCGTTTTGCCATTGTTTCCTGTTTTTGTTTTGTTTTTTTGAGACTGTGAAATGTACTGAATTTTAGCTAAGAACAGTGAATTTTAGTTAAGGGTAAAGATAGCATCGGCTGTCAGGTGGAGACACCTGGCACGCATCTTAAACTTGAGCAGTGAGGCTTCCTCTCTGGACCTCACACTTCAAGGGGGCCTTTGTCTTTGGAGCACTGTCCTCAAAACTGTCCCTGCTCCCCTCCAGCGTCTGAGGCCAGCCAAGACCAGCAGAACCACTGGGACAGAGCACCCTCAGCTTGTACTGAGACCCGCGTAGGTCCTGGCGTTGCTTCCTCCCACTGGACTGTTTCCCACTCTCTGTTCTTTACCTGTGAAATCTAGGGCAGTTGTCCTGCCTCTAGGTGGTCCCTGGCAGGAGCCTGTGACTGCTGCTATCTCTTCCCCCGGGGCCTTTCCAGGTGATGTCCTTTTTATTTATTGTTTTGCTTCTGATCAACGTGGGCTCTCCCCGTCAGTCTTGAAAGTGATGGATGAGGGACGATGCGTCTTGTGCGAACAAAACCCTTCTCTTGCTTCACCCATGAGCCCCACCAGGGCCAGCTACATAATTTGCAGGGCTCAGTGCAAACAGAAAAAAAATGAAGCTCCTTGTTCAAAGCAGGCAGAAAGTGGTAGAAATACTAAAATTAATTTTTTTTCTTTTCTCTTGCAGTCTCTCTCTAGACCTGGCATGATGTTTTACAAACTTACTGAACGTTGTTCCCCCACAGACAGTGGATACTCACCGGGAAAGTACAGACCTTCATAGATGCCCAGGGTCCCCACTCTGCCACTTGGTGCACGTACGGGACCCACCAGCTGCCAGGATTCTCCTCCTGTCAGCTCACTGGTGGTAGCGACAAGGAACCAGGCCAACAACCCTTGAGACAGTAATTGGAAACCAGTATCCAGGGACAGCATAAAGGATGATGTAGCCTCACAAGTGATAATGTAACCAGCCTTAAATAAATGGTACTGGGAGGCACAGTGCCAAGAAGGGTGCACTAGTCAGGATCCCCCTGGGAAACAGAATTAGATAGATGATATATGATTGATTGATAGATGGATAGACAGACCTGGTATGTATATAATAGTATATACCTATAACAAAAGATAAATACAAGCCACATGGAGCACCTCTTGTCATTGTAGAAGTCAAACATGAGTTGAGTAATACGATCTTAACACCCTTTTTTCCTTTCTTAAAATCTATACACATTTTTTTGCATCCTCTGTATATAGACGCACATGTCAATAAGAGATATACACACATATATGCACATACACAAGCACACATGTGTCTGTACACACATAACAATAGGAGATACACACACACGCATCCCAATAGGCCAAGTAGGTCTATTTTATCAAAAAACAGGGCCAGATTTGGTCAAACATTTAATGGGGCAGAGCAAGATGGATCCAGCCCCAGGACTCAGCCTGTGTTAGAGACCGACAGCTCCCTGTGTGCCTAAGACAAAAACAACATCTACTGTGCCCAGTGGACCAGACACCGCTGAGCGTTTACCAAATACTCTTCACAGCTACACAACATAGAAAACAGTAATACTCCCACTTTGCAGCCGGGGTAACCAAAGTTCAGAGAGGCTCAGGGATTTTCTTCCAATTTGTGAGTCTGCCTTTCAAGTTCAAGTTCTTAACAACCACAAGACATCAACTCCGTGTACATGTTCTTTATTGTGGCCTCAGAGTGGGCTATAATAGGCACAATACCTGGCAGGTGGTAAGAAATGGTTGAATCATTTTTGTGTGGATGAAGCGAAGAATGGATGAGTGAGTCTACAAGATTTGGGCAGAAGGCAGTAGGGGGCCCGTGAAGTAGATTTAGTGAGTCAATCTCAGGTTAAGATTGAGTTGGGGGAGTGTCCACCACCAAACAGGTTCTGCAACTCAGCATGTGAGTGACTGATTTTTGAAAAGCTCAAGCTCATGTTGGATGATGAGCTCATTGAACACCTTAGGGCTTGTACCTTTTCCCGAGAGATTCAGTCTCTTTAACTGCAAACTGGGGATTTGGTCCCCTAGACCGGGGTCAGCAAACATTTTTGTCAAGGACAAGATGGTGAATCTTTTAGGGTCTGCGGTAATTATTTTAGGTCTCTGTTGTAACTACTTGATTCTGCCACGGTCGTGGAAAAATAGCCTTAAACAATACATAAATGAATGAAAAGGTGGCTGTGTTCTATAAAACTTTATTTACAAAAACAGGCAGCTGGCAGGATTTGGTCCTGGAATGGTATTTTTCTGACCCTTCGTCTGGATAACCTTTGAGGTTCCCATTCGTCTTAACACTCTGTGATTTAAAGGCTTAGAACCAACTGTGTCAAGGACAGAAATGATGATATATCGCTATCCTATGGTGTCCCCGGAAGACATGCTAGTTGATCACAGGACTCGTGAGAAAGGAGTTGGCTTGAATCAATCAATCAGTCGACCACAGACAGAAAGCTTTACCTGTAGTACTCTCCTTTTTTTTTTTCTCTTTCAGACCCAAATATTTAGAAAACTTCAGATACTCTTCTTGAGGGTGGCACTGAAGAAGATGGGGAAAAACAGAGAGTGGGAAAAACAGAGAGTGGGAAGAACAGGCGCTCTGTGAGAGGAATCAGATTGTCCCCCGGGTGGTGGGGGCGAGAACAAAAACCCTGACTGACAGTGATGCCTCCTATTGGTGAACCTCAGACACTCTGATTCTCTTACCCACGCCATCTAGGAGAGAACGTGCCCGGCTCATAGTAATTATCCAGTGCATATTAATTTTCTTCTTTTCTTTTTTCCACCCAAATTTAAACCATTGAGTGACTTTGGCATAGAGGGCTCTGCTGCCGGTTGGAGAAAACTTAATTACTTCTGGAGCTGTCACTCCTTGACAGTGTGTGGGTCTTCATGTCTGTTGGAATGTCCATGTACTCTTGCTTTGAGGAACAATTGGGAGAATCCCAAGTCCAGGAGATCACACGATGGTGAGGCAAGAGCTTGGACTTTGTGGTCAGAGGGGTTTGGGTTGAATTTTAGACATAATGATCTTTCTCTTCACCATAAAAAGGGATCTATGCAGGCCAAGTAGCACATAGGATCAATTTAATATATAGCAGCCATGCTTTTTGGCTGTTGTGTGGGCTCTGTAGGGGAGTGAGGGGCATTTTAGGGACTATTCCTCTAACATCTCAAATTACATCATAGCTAAAAGGTGATTTCTTACAGTAACTGCTGTAAGGAGCTGCTTTGCCCCTTTATCTCAGATTCACTTCAATTCTCTTGGGGGGGAAGGGATATAATTCATTTATTCTTTTCAGAATCCTTTCATATCCTTAATCTTGCAACCCTCTGAGAAGGGCTGACTTGGTAGTAGCATCCCATTTCACAGCTGGGAAAACTGAGCTCCAAAAATATTTGCTTCCGGCAGAGCTCTTCCTTCTGCAGTTTTCGGTCATTGAAGGGGTGCTTCCCCTATTACCAGGCATGGAGTAAGCACTGAGGACATAACGGTTCAGATATTTCAGGGCACCAAATATCTGTTCGTTGAGTGATACGTCATCGTACTTTTGAGAAGGAAATTGCATTGAGCTATCAGCAGAGTTTCGCAATTGCCTGAGAGCCTAGGAGTGTCAGAACTAGGGAGGTATTGCACAGTCTCAGCTGGGAGTCTGGGTATCTGGTTTCAACTCCAGGTCAGGTAGCGCCTTTGCAGATGACCTCTCCTTCCACTCTCCACCCACAAGGCTAATAGGCTGGGCCCTCATGATCTTCAGGGCTCAGAAGGTCACCTGAGGTGGGGTCCTTATCAGCCTGTTGACACCTTCTAGACCAATCTCTTCCTTTTCTTCTCTGGTGGTTATTCTGCGGGCTTCACGGTCTTGCCTGGAATGGAAAAGAACCACCATCCCCCTGGTATCAGGATTTCTGGTCTCTGGGCAAGCTTCCTGCTCGTGCAATAGCAGCTGGGAGTGGCCAAAAAAGTTCTGGTGGGGCCACGCCCTCCTGCGAAAGTTTAAATAGGGAGGCTTGGCGTTGACCCTCAGAGTCACTTGCCTTCACCATGAAGTCCAGCAGCCTATTTCCTCTCGTGGTGCTTCTTGCCCTGGGAACCCTGGCACCTTGGGCTGTGGAAGGTTCTAAAAATGGTGAGTTGGAGTCACCCTGGGCCAATCATGGCTGCAGGGTCGGCGGGGGGTGGGGTGTCTCCTGGTGGTGTGGGCATATCCCCTCCTCTAGATTCTTAACAGCTTAGTTTCAGGAGCGCTCCCTGCGGGTAGAGTAAGTGTCCAGCTGAGTTCCAAGGTCTCTGCAAGGGCTTTTGAGCATTTTCAAATGCTTCTTTTACTCTCCTCCCTTCCACACCCTTCTCTTCCACTTCCTTCTTCTTCGTCCTCATTTCTTTCACCCTCCAACCCTGTCTGTGACTCTCCCATCATCAGCCTCTCCCTGCTTCTCCTTTGCCTCCCTGTGTTTCTGCTTAGTCTCTGTTTCCGCCTCTGGCTTCAGTCCTCAACATCTCTCCTGCTGGTTCTGCAGTGTTTATGTTGGTTTATTTCTCTCCATCCCCATCACTCCCAGCCTTCCTCCTTACACTTGCCTTTCTATAGCTTTGGGTTGGGCTGGGTGGGAGACCTTGACTGGCTGCCCTCTGCTGTTTTCATGTGTCTGAGACTGTCCTGTCCATGTGTCTAGTTTAATCAGTCAAGCTCTTCCTGGAGGTCAGATGGGCATGTCCCTTTGAACTTTGTGGATGGCCAGAGAGAGGGTCTCTTCTCCTGGAAAGCAGTACTTTGTCCCGGAGTCATGATGGCTACTCAGTCCCCAGCTCCTCGCTTGATCTCTGGATCTTCTCTTTAAAAGCTGTGAAAGCTGGAGCCTGCCCTCCCAGAAGACTTGCCAAGTGCCCTAAATTTGAGAAGCCCGAGTGCCGCAGTGACTGGCAGTGTCCAGAGAAGAAGAGATGCTGTACTGATGCTTGTAGCGTCAAATGCCTGGATCCTATTGACATCTCATCATCAGGTGAGCAGGTTGGGGAGCTTGGCAGAGGGGAGTGACCAGAGGACACAGCATCAGGGGGCTGGAACTGGGCAATGGGTCCTGCCTAGACCTCCTCCTTTCCAAGACTTATTGAGCAAGTGGATCAAGGATTTCACTGCACCAGGCAGGAAGTTAGTGACCAGGCTGGTAAAGCAACTGGCTTGTCAAGAGGTCAGTCTTCCAGAGAATCCCTGGGGCATTCAAGTAGCCAGGCAGCTAGTGGACAGCTGGTGCCTTGGGGGCCTGATGTTAGAGGGGAGCCAGGTGCTACCTTCAGGGGGTGCCTTATGGAGGAGGTGGTCGTGATGGGGGTGGGGGAACAAGAGACGATGCCTCTGCTCAGGCTGGAGCAGGCCTGATGTCCAAAATACAAGGCCTCTGACATGCGGGCCTGCTCTCACCAGTGAAGGAGAAGCCTGGGGCCTGCCCAGTGGTCCATGGCCGATGCATGATGATTAACCCCCCTAATCACTGTGAGAGGGATGGCCAGTGCCAGGATGACTTCAAGTGCTGCATGGGCATGTGCGGAAAAGCCTGCGTTTCCCCCACAAAAGGTAAGCCAGGGGCTGGGGCAGACCAACCTCTCTTCCTCCGGCCCTTCTCAGCCTTACCCCTAGGGAGGTCCAGGAGAATGGCAGGGGGACTCCCAATCCCCAGCAGAGCCTCTGACTTCCCAATCCTCCAAGAGTACTATTCCCCAGGCCTCAAGCAACTCACTGAGGGTGTGAGTGGGCAGCCCTGAAGGAAGTCTGGATATGAGCCCTCTCTCACACAGTTTGAGCAAAGGCCCTGGGCAAGTGACTTTCTGAGCCTCGGTTTCCTTATCTGTAAAATGGACACAAGAAAATGGAAAGTGCTTTGAAAAGCACAATGTGCACTAGGTATCTGTTATTCAGGTTATGTCTATCATGTTGTTGAAGATTAAAGCCTAGAAGATCAGTGGAGTTTGAGGATAATCTTGTTTGGTGCTCTGAGTTTAAAGTTTTACAGTGAAAACTAGACTTGAACTGAGTCTCCTGACACCAAGACTCTGTCAACTACTCCACCACCTTGCTATTTTCTCTATCTTGTGTGTGTGTGGGGGGGGGGGCGGTCCTTGCCAGGGAACAATGCAGAGATGATTTGACTGGTTCCTATATTGAAGCTCTTCTCTCAATTTCTCTTGCAGTCTGATTCCTGCCGCTGGAGGAGGCTCTGGAGTCCTACACTGTGTGGCCTGGGAATTCCCTTTCTGCCTCCCAACTTGGACCACTGGGCACTCCCTGCTGAGGGCTGGGTTCCACCACCTATATTCTCCCTTGGGGAAAGGCTAGGCACACAGTAGGCCTTTCAGGAAATGCCAGTTCATCAGCAAATAAATAAATGAAGATATTTCTCTTGTTCATCCCGCTTCTGTAATTCACTGAGGGTATGAGTAGGGCAGGCAGCCCTGATGAAGTTGAGATATAAGCCCCCCCTTCTACAGACACAGAGTGGAAGAAGGAGGTTTAGGGTCTGGGTAGGCTTGAACTCACATCATGAATCTGAAAGTACTGACTCTTGCAATGATTTTGGACAAGTGACTTTATCCCAAATCTCAATTTCTTTATCTGTAAGTGGCAACAAAAATCTGTCTCTTGGGCTCAGTGCCTGTAGCTCAGTGATTAGAGCAACAGCCACATGTACCAGGGCAAGTGGGTTTGAACCCGGACAGGGCCTGCTATAACAACAATGACAACGACAACAAGAAATAGCAGGGCAAGGCTCTGCTCCTGTAGCTCAGTGGTTAGGGCACCAGCCACATATACCGGGGCTGGTGGGTTCAAATCCAGCCTGAGCCTGCTAAACAACAATGACAACCACAACCAAAACATAGCCAGGTGTGGTGGGTGCCTGTAGTCCCAGCTACTTGGGAGGCTGAGGCAAGAGAATTGCTTAAGCCCAAGAGTTTGAAGTTGCTGTGAATTGTGATGCTACAGCACTCTACCAAGGGTGACATAGTGAGACTCTGTCTCAAAAGAAAAAAATTCCATTTCTTGGTGTATTTGGAGTCTTGGAGAATGCTTTGTAATAAACAGCAATATTACTGGGCCACAGCAGGTTCTCAAAAAATTACAGCTACTTGTTGTCCACTGGAGTGATTTTGAGTCTCTATTATTTCTTCTCTCTCCTAATAAGAAAGAGGGAGAAGAAATTCTTATCTTTGGCAAGATAAGAATATTGCTCAAATGGGCCATGCTTATGATATGCTGCTGGCCAGTACCATTCAAGGGTGGTGGAGTTCTTACTCCACAGGACTTGAGTAGCAAGAACTGGCCTCCAAGAGCCCAGGAGCAAGCAGAGAACTTTACAGCACATTTTCCTGTGCTCCGTAGACTCTAGAGGAAAGAGACAGCTCAATTAGAGCATGATCAAAAAGATAAAATATTGTAATTCAACTCTTTTCCAGGAAACAGTCACTGAGCAAAGGAAATATTCCTTACTTCTTTCAGCCAGTGCTGCAAGAACAGCCACTGGGTGTATTAAGTTAAAGTTCAGGGCATTCCTGGACGCCATGCCGCTCTACGAGGGCCTGGGGAGTGGCGGGGAGAAGACTGCGGTTGTGATCAACCTGGGCGAGGCCTTTACCAAGTGTGGATTTGCTGGAGAAACTGGGCCAAGATGTATAATTCCTAGTGTGATAGAAAGAGCTGGCTTGCCTAAGCCTATCAAAGTTATTCAGTATAATATCAATACAGAAGAATTATATTCCTACCTAAAAGAATTCATCCATATCCTGTATTTTAGGCATCTGTTGGTGAATCCCAGAGACCGCTGGGTTGTGGTCATCGAGTCAGTGTTGTGTCCCTCCCACTTCAGAGAGACAGTCACACATGTGCTTTTCAAATATTTTGAGGTTCCATTGGTCTTGCTTGCTCCAAGTCATCTAATGGCTCTTCTGACCCTTGGCATGAACTCTGCCATGGTCCTGGATTGTGGATATAGGGAAAGCCTCGTGTTACCCGTATATGAGGGAATCCCAGTACTGAATTGTTGGGGAGCACTCCCCTTGGGAGGAAAAGCTATTCACAAGGAGCTGGAAACTCAGCTGTTGGAACAATGCACTGTGGACACCAGTGCTGCTAAAGAGCAGAGCCTTCCCTCAGTGATGGGTTCAGTACCGGAAGGTGTCTTAGAGGACATTAAAGTGCGTACTTGCTTTGCTAGTGATCTGAAGTGTGGACTAAAAGTCCAAGCAGCAAAATTTAATAGTGATGGGAATAATAAGCGTCCCTCGCCACCCCCAAATGTTGATTATCCATTAGATGGAGAGAAGATTTTACATGTTCTTGGATCAATCAGAGATTCGGTGGTGGAAATTCTTTTTGAAGATAATGAAGAGAAGTCAGTTGCCACTTTAAGACTGGATTCTCTTATGCAGTGCCCAATAGATACCAGGAAGCAATTAGCAGAGAATTTGGTAATCATAGGTGGCACATCTATGTTGCCAGGATTTCTCCATAGATTGCTTGCAGAAATAAGGTATTTGGTAGAAAAAACAAAATATAAAAAACCACTTGGCACCAAGACATTTCGAATTCATACTCCACCTGCAAAGGCCCATTGTGTGGCCTGGTTGGGAGGAGCTATTTTTGGAGCATTGCAAGATATACTTGGGTGCCGCTCCATTTCAAAGGAGTATTATAATCAGACAGGCCGTATACCAGATTGGTGTTCTCTCAACAACCCACCCTTGGAAATGATGTTTGATGTCAGCAAAGCTCAACTGCCTCTCATGAAGAGAGCATTTTCTACTGAGAAATAAAAGTTTGATCGAAATTCAGCTTTTTTGCTGTGTGTTTGCTCTTTACATCAATACATAATGCTTTAGACTCTGTTTCTCTTGTGCCGTGGTAAAATAGTAGCTGATGCTTATGAAGTGTGTTGTATTTATATCAAGAAAATATACGAAAGCAGTTAAAAAAAAATCCCATCTCTGAAAAATAGCCAGGTGTTGTGGCAGGCACCTGTAGTCCCAGCTGCTTGGGAGGCTGAGGCAAGAGAATCTCTTAAATTCAAGAGTTTGAGGTTGCTGTGAGCTGTAATGCCACAGCACTCTACCAGGGGTGACATAGTGAGACTGTGTCTCACCAAAAAAAAAAAAAGTAAAAAAGGGCCATTTTCTGGAAGTTTGCCTTAACAGAAAGTCCTAAACAACTCAGTACTCCAAATACGAGGCCAGCCTCATTTAGTTTGATGATGATATGGTTGTTTTCAGGACTCAGAACATGAACTTGCTCATAGCGAACATACATGGTAGCAATGCATCAAGCTGTGATATTTAGCATTGCCCCAAAGAAGCAATTTTCTGGAGCTACTGGGCCATTGTCAGCATCACTCCATTCGTGTGGATTCAGTGCAGTACTTGGCAAATGGCAAATTCAAGTTTTGCATCTTGGAACTTTATGGAATTCTCTTTTCCAAAATATTTGCAATCTGCGGTTGGTTGAATATACGGATGTGGAACCCACGGAGGGCTGATAGTAGTAGAAAGCTCTTTACCATGAGAGCAGGTAAGTTATTAGTGAGGCAAAGCGGGGTCTGTACGGTGGAGTGTTTCTGCAGTAATATATGAAAACAGCAGATATGCAAATCTCGAGAATAGAAGGAAGGAAAGCAAGGCCTTGCTGAAGCCTCCACATTTCCAACAGATCTTCTGTTTTACAAGTTTGCAAATCGTCAGCTCTCAGATCTGCTCACCTCTATACCTTTGGTAACTCCTAGCTTCTCTGTTTTCTTTGAGGTTCCATGAATCAAAACTGCATGTTTTGTCTCCCCACTATTTGTCTCCAATAGTTCAGGGCCACTGGTGAAAAGATGAATTCCTTGTGCTGTTTCCTCTAAGTGGTGACTTAGGCCGACCCCGCCAGCGTCCGCAACTAGCTGCAAAGCTAAAATAATGTTTTTGCTGAAGGTTTAAATTACAAACTCAATAGATAAAGAAGTCATAGTTGTGTTTGAGAAGACTTAATAAGGGAAAGATGGCAATTTCTTTAAAATCATTTCCAAATCCAATGTAATTATTATAAAAGCCCCAATATGATTTTTGGGAAGAACTTGAGAAAGTAATCCTACAGGTAATATATTAGTATAAAGGTTGCAGAAGAGGCAGTGACATGGTCTGCCAGGCAGCCCCACATGCCACAAGCACTGCTTGGAGGGACCCTAGTGACAAGGAATCAGATGCCCCTTCAGGAGGTGCATGGGCTTCAGTTTGGGGACTGAGATATGGAAGGAGTGTTTCTATGGTAAAGCACAGAACCAAGGCTTGGGGCTTGCAATACAAGGGTTACAAGTGGGAAAGGATTCTCCCTTTGTGCCTGGTCCTCTTAGGTATCCTTGATACCCAGCAATGGCCGAGTGAAAGTGGAGGAACTCAGAAAATGCATTTTGTTCAGGGAGTGAATGAACGCATAAGCTTCTGTCTCGAGACCCAGTGTTTGTAATTCACAGAGTCTGGATGGTGGTTGGAAGTAGGTGGGAGCAGGAGGACTCTGTCCCGCAGCACGAATGCCTGTTCCCATGGCATGGGTTTTTCCCCCCCCTTAGGCTAAATACCTAGAATCCAAATTGCTTCTAGGTTTTTCCTTCTAGGCAAGGCTAGGTTGCTCTTCTAGGATACTATAAACTGAGTAATTCTGCCAACTAGATGGACCTGTTTACGTTCCTGCCAGCAGTACACGAGCCTCTGTTTCTCCATACTTTATCAACAGTATGTTGTCAGATTTTACATTCTTGTTGGTCTAGGGTATGAAAACTCACGTCTTGTTTCAATTTGCATACCAAGAGTATTCATGAGGCCACATATATATTCACACATACGTAATAATTATATGATGTCTTTAGTGCTATATTCATGAAAAATTGCAGTCTCAATGGCCTAGCACTGCACAAGTTTATTTCCACAGACCCAGAAGCCTTGTGGAAATGTTGGAGAGGGCATTCAAACTTCACATAGACTTCCAAAGATTCATCTCAGAAGCACTGGAGAGGGAAAACCCAAGCAGGAAGGAAGTTGAGGGTGAAGCACAGTTCTGATGGGAGGAGTACTGACAGCCACAGTTGTCATCCATGAAATCACTGGCACAGGGAGAGAGGCGTGGTTAATGGGACCCTCCCTTGATTTCATCCTGTTTCCCAATCTCTGTATTTCAGCCCAACTCAACAAGTTTCTGTCTTGACACTCACTACCAACTTGTTGGTACCAGGCGACTATCTTGAGTATCCTAGCCTCACAGTGAGGATCCTTTTCCACCTGCCCTTAGAGAATGTTGGCATTTTTCAGAGGACATCTTCCAATTATGTGAAAGGAACACTATCACTATACAAATTAGGGTATGGATGGGCGCACTGAGGGTGAGAGGC